CACAAGCTCATTCTTTTTCTTTTAATTTATCTCTTAATTTTCTCACCTATCCAAGAGGTTGTGGGTTCAATCCCCACTCACCACATTTATTTCTCCTCCTTTATTTTTCTCCGAACTCTCTCATCTATTCAAGAGGTTGTGGGTTCGAAGCCCCACAGCCTCACCTTATTTTAATTTACATTATCTCCTTACCTTCTCAATTTGCCAAAAGGTTGTGGGTTTGAATCCCACATACCTCATTTTTATTATTTCTTTATTTCATTCTTGTTCTCTCTCCCTCATCCGTCCAATAAGTTGTGGGTTCAAATCCCCATAGCCTCAACTTATTTTTATTTACATTTTCTCCTTACCGGCTCATTCTGCCAAGAGGTTGTGGGTTCGAATTCCACATACCTCAGTTTTATTATTTAATTTTTTAGGATATATATATGGTGAGGTCTTGGATTCAATCCCCACTGACCTCAAGCATTTAAAAAATATATTTTAGAACGTGATTCTTTTACAGTAAGCTTCCCAAAAAACAAATTTCCAGAATGCTTAAAATTTGTTTACCCTTTTTTGCATTCCTTTTTCTCAAATTTTAGATGTTGGATTTAGGATAAATTTTTGTGTAACATCTAGTGTAACTTTAGGTGAGTTTTCATGGTTATTTTCGAGAATTTAATCACCTTTTTGCAGTCCATTTTCTTACCCTCTTTCACGTTAAACATCAAGACATTTTGAGTAGTTTTTTGTGAAATCTTTAGGTGCATTTTCAAGGTTACTTTCAACCAAGAATCATCATTCAACTTCAACAACTTTGAACTCATTTGAACATCACGTTTTTAACATATTCATATACATAAAATACAACATTTTTACATGTAAAAATCCAGGCTTCAAACCATGGCTAGCTCACGGTACACACATGCACAATCAAGTTAACATAATTCACTTTTTCAGAACATATTTTCATGAATATATTCATCACAAACATCACATTACACGCCTAATCTATCAGCAAACATACCAACCTAAGATCATTGGGATCTAGTGACAGGGAACATTTAATGGGGAACAACCCTAGTTTTTGGAGTAGATTCATCTGAGACTTAAGGTCTCTAGGGAAAAGGATCAAGTGGAAGAAAACCCATACGTGATTTCATGGTGTTCAACACTTCAACTTGCTTCTAAATCCACCCCAAACCAAAAGTCCACCTACGAATCTCACACCTTACCCCACGACAATATAACATTTTGCTTTACGTTTTCAGATTGCTTTGTCGTTTGTAATTTGCGTGTAATTTTTTCAAGTTTGAAGAACTTTTGTTTCGTTCTTATTCCAATTTTTGGTTTCTGTTTTGTTAAGTAGAGAGAACGTGAAAGAGAATGTTGAAGAGAGGGATATAAATGTGAGAGTGGATAGATGTGTGAGAGAGTGTTTCCTTAGGGCTAGGACTTTAGGCAAGACTTAGCCAAATAAGGTTAAATAATTAATAAATAATAATTAATAGTAAAAATCTGATTTTTCTTTTTATTAAATCAGCCATTAATTATTAATATATTCACGATATTAAATAATCAAATTAAATCATAGCTCCCACCTAGATTCGAGCACGGGTAGAGCAAGATTTTTCTCAAAGGCCAATTTCGGTCCTTTCTCCCTAAAATGCCCCTCCACCATATTAATTAAACAATTAATTAAATATATATGGTAATTATGATACTATCCTTAGCCTGGAAAAAGACCATTTTACCCCTAGAGTGTCTAAACATAAGATTTCCCCTTTTTAAGTCCGGTAAAGACTCATCCGGGTAAATTTTCATAATCGGGTGCCCTACATGGATGGACCCAACCTTTCATAGCTCAACTAACTCACCAAGTTAGTTGGCTTGGATGTTGCAGAGGTTCAGAGGTCTGGTTCTACGCGTATCAATCCGTGTGAACCCGGTCTAATCGAAGGCATTTTAGACACATTAAGCATTACTTAGCATAGACATTTTAGGGTTGTTACACATGTACCCATGTTGGCAAGACATAGTTTATAATATTTTGAGTTGTGTGAGCTCATCCTCATATTGTGATGAATACTACTCTCAATAATATATATATTCATGCTCAAATGTATAAAACATATTGTTTCTCTGATTTGAGATAATCGCTCAAACTTTCCTCTAAAATTTTTGTGAACTCATACACTCATTTGGAAATCAAAGTTTTTCTTTTTTCAAAATAATATTCTTGTTCTTCTTGTGAAAATGAATCGTTTGATAATTACACATTTCCCTTATACTCTTTCTCAAACTCCTTTTTTACTTCCTTAAAAATTGAGTTTCAAACTCAAATAGTGGCTTTAAAAGATTCTCAAGATTTATAACTCAAAAATAGGGTTCATGCTGAATTATAGACATGAACGAATCAACTCAAGGACCTCAAAAATAGTATGATAACTCTGTACTCATGATTCAAGAACTTAGAACTTAGCAAATTTTTTTATCTCAAGAATACTCAGTTCATAGGGTTCATGCAGAAAATATAGATATAAGTGAATTAACTCAAGGATCTCAATAATAATGCAAAAATAAACACTTAAACTCAAGGACTTGGTTCAAATCTTTATTTAATTGGAAAATGATTCTCAAATTTAACTCAAAAGGACCTTTTGAACTTTACTTCATTTTGAAATGTAAATTTAGACATTTGATTAGGATATGTAGGATCTCTCAAGTGTTAATGAAGATTTTTAAGATTTAATATCAAGAAGAAAGCAAAGACATGATTTGAAAGAACTTATACGAGACGAAGAGTGGGGAAGAAAAGGGTCAGGTGACCGTGACACACTAAGTGGTTCGGGGAGCCAACCTTAAAACTACTAGAAAGTGTTTGGGCAACAGTACTGGCGTGCTGAGCTAGGCCCCAAACTACTGAATGGTTTCTTTAGCTCTATACTGATGCGCCGCCCTACCCCTATATAGATAAATTTTATTCTCTATTATGGGTCATAACTCATCTAGAATCAATTGGTTTCCTCCAAACAACTTTTGATTCAAAAACCAACATGAATTATTGAAACCTGAAATCTATCAATAAACGCCACACATTCACAAGAGCCTCACCTCAAGAACTCAAAACTTCTATTGTTTTAGAATGGGGCAAAACTCAAGAACTTTACATTAACAAATTCATGGAATAACTGATGGAAAAATTATATAATTGGCGGGAGGAAGAACAATTCTATCACTATGAGAAGCTTACATACCTCGAAATAACGCTTGCTTTTGGTGAAATTCCCTAACCCTTGAATGAACGCTCGAAAACCCTTTTTTCCTCTTCTTGAAACTTTCTCTAGAAACCTAAATATTTTGAAAGTGAATAATGGGTATTTTAGAATCTGATTAAACCCTTAAATTGTTTCAGGAAAATGTGTCAAGACAAGTGACAAAAAGGAAAAGATCAAAATACCCTTTCCTAAAACGAGTGGAATGCCTTAAATGAGAGGATTCACTCAAACAACAATAACACTTTACTCGAAGTTTGAAATTTAGCAAAATTGGAGGCACTGAAAAAGGACTCATAGACCTTCAATTTATGTCTTAAAAGATATGGTTTGTTAAAGTTCAACCAAGTAATCTCATAGTGAAAGTCAATCGATAAGAAAACTTTCAACTCTACTTTATTCTAGGGGATTCTAGTGACCTTAGCACCTAAGAAAATTTAGAATCACTCGGTATAATCTTCTTCACAAATGAAGAATGATTCGTGTCTTTACTTAGAAATTATCAGGGTGTTACATGAAGAGTTTCTACTTGAATGATATTTGACGGAAATGCCTTGGTTTGTAAAAAGGAATTAACCTTCAAGAGTTGGAAGTCTTTGGGAGATGATTCAAACCAATAGTGGTAAAAAGCTTTTTCTTGATTCAAGGGTGCGAGTGAAGTTGAACAAGACATGTGGTTCTAAGTCAACACAAACATAGGTGTGACTACTTATAATAGAAAAGACATTGGATACTCATTTATTATTTAGTTTTCTTACTAATATTTGTATTTGGTTCTAGTAATATCAGTTATCTATCGGCTAACAATGTGAAAAGACATAAAATTTTTGGGGAAACTTTATGTTCAGTACTATTAGAGCTTTCAAAATGAGTTGATTCAATAATTATTGACATAGTAAGCTTACCATTTTACCCCTATTAATTATGAAGTTGACGAATTAAAAATTTAATATTTTCAAAAAGTTCTATCTTTGTCAAAGTAATTAATTGAGGGTATAATAAAATTTTTTTCTCGTTTCTTGATTCGTCAAAATAGATAAGTAATTTGGGATGATTGTAAAAAGACAAGTGGACATGTAATTAGGGACAGAGGAAATTAAAGATATGCAAAAAATATAGTCTTGATTTTATGTTGATATTTTAAAAATGTTTCTTGACAAAATCTTAACAAGTAAAACACTACTTAAAATATATATTATTATTATTTTTTTTAAATTGACAGCCCGCGGGCTGACATCTGAAGCTTGAGGGTTGGGCCTACGAGAGCAGCGGGCCAAATGATGATGGGCGAAAAAGACTCGTTCTTAGATGGGCTGAAAAATTTAGTCCAACCCCATTTAATTCAAGGGTTGGGTTGGGCCGTCCTAGCAGGCCAAATCCATTTTGATAGCTCTAAATACTATGTACTATCTTAACATATAATTTACCTTTTAGTTATATATAATCTCGTTAAAACTTCTCACCTCATCAACGCTCATGTCACCCAGATGAGAATTGTTTTGTCGCCAAATATCCTTGTAGATTTATTGATAAAACCCTTAAATCCCGCGAGTTCACAACAAATTTGATTATCAAAATGAAGAGTTTAACTTGTCGCTTATTAACCAATTTGCACCACCAAAAGATATTTTGGCATGAAAATAAATTCGTCAATCAGTCATCCCCAAAGCATGGGTCACTAAAAGTGTATTACGACAAATTTAATGCATGGTAACTAAAATAAAGTTTATTCACTACGAATACTTATCCTGCCTTTGTCAACTTCTTCTCTACTGCTCCTTCCCATACACAACTGCAACCAACAGAGAAAAACAGCAAACACAAAAATATTATTAAAAAACATAATTGATTTTAGATCTTTATTCAAAACAATAAATTATAAACTCATATTATAATTTGAAATGAAATTTATACTTACCCTCGGACAAGAATTAAAAATTGAGAAAGAGAGCGTTCTTGATTTTGTTGATGGTGCAAAACATGAGTTTATCGACCGCAGCAACAGATTGAGGAGAAATATTTGCAGTTGGTACATTATCTACCAAAATCTGGAATGCAATAGTGAGGAATGATCCACTATAATCAGAAATTTCGTGGTTTGTACTACCTGATGGACCATCAGGGAGTATAGCAAATCCAGAAGGTAATAGCGGAACAACATCGGGATTCCCACCACATAATATCATGTCTATTGCACGAATATCTATAGGTGCATAAACAATAAATGACCCTGTTGGATCACTGATGCTCTCTTGAATTATCAACATACCGTTTGGAGCTTGATTTGGACACTGCAATTCAGGAGCCAATTATTGAAATTCAGACATGAATTCCTTTAGTTAATGTAATTATTAGAAATTAGTATTCAAAATAAGTGGATTTTAATAGCTTGACGAAAGATACTATAAATTTCCTTACATTGACTCTCAATATGGAGATAGAATTGCCTATTTCCATTCCATTTGCAATATGAGTAACTTCTTGAATAGTACCCCCATTTATTAGAATGTCCCACTGCAATAATTCGATGACATTACTGTTTTTTAAAAATTCTAAATATTCAAAATAATTGGCTGATCCTAATGAATAAAAAGTTCATACAATCAGACAAATTGTGGCAAAGGTGTGAGTGGTACCTTTCCCCTTGTGTTTTCATTCCGAAGGAAATCAAACAAAAGTTTTGGAAGAACGGGCAGCCAGATGGAAGTTGAAGCGCACAATACAAGTCCCCGTGGTCTCCCTGGATCGTTTATGCTCCGTCTAGTCTTGACTTGAAGATCATTAATATTATAGCCACTTCCTGTGAAAGTTGTCCATTTGTGTGTTTTGGTTCCACTCACTCCTGAAATATAGTTTATTATCATTCTCTCTCCAAGCTTCAACACACTTTTTCTTCTCTCTTTATCGATTGACACTGTAAATGCGACAATTGTATTATAATGTGAGTTTAAGCATTTGAATTCAAGAACTGATTGAAAATGGAGTATTTCACATCATTGAAAAAGGATAGTTATGTACTCACGCGTATGAGTAATGTTATTTTGGGGTAAATTTGTGGCTTCTACACTTGCTAATCGTTCACATTGTCTATCCAAGATAGAAATCCAACGCTTTGCCCCAAATGCAAGGCTGGAATTCACAAAGGTCTTGTAAAAGGTGTAAATTAATGTGTCATGGGCCTCGATATGCTCAATCCATGTGACCTAGAACATTGTAATATGTTAGATTTAAGATCATCCAACTTTATGATTTCAGGACAATATATATACAAATGATTAATTTTTAATTTTTGTGCAGACAATTAACTTAGGTGCATTTCTTTTGAAAAATGTTGATAGAAAGAATCAAGAATCCACGTGTAATCAGCTTTCTCCTTAATCATTGTTAGACATAGTATATGTTTATTAAAATCTTTTACCTTTGAGATATCATTTGAGATTTGTTGAATCACGCACCCTGAGGGCCTTTTCCAGCACCTAGTAATCGGGGTATGGTCCAGGGAAACATCAACAATTACCCATAGTCCATCAACAATTTTATTGCAAGACCTTACAAAGTAGCAATGTCGATTCGGAATTTGTGGAGAGGGAACTTGAAACTCTGCATATATCTGCCCAAGGAATAAGGAATAAAATGACAGAAAAGGATAGTGTAAATTATTTATAAAATTATAGGCATTCAAGTGCAACCTATATAGAGTAAGTAATAAGGAGAAACATTCAATGACAAAGTACATCATGAATATTTACCATTTTTGTTGATCCATCCAACACATCCATCTCCCGAGCTGTCAACACAATACTTGAAAAAAAAATTGTCCAATGATTCTGGTGATCATAAAAGATATCCTCATTATAATTGCAAAATTGTCTAGATAATTCTTTTATATCCAATTACAATTCTATAACTAGTTAACTAGTTTCTATAGAGTGGTGTAGTGAGATGAATTTAAATTACATGTCTTCATTTTTAATCAGAATTTTCAAATTTAAGTTATAGAAATAGAAAAAAAAAAGCCTTATTGCAAATTCAAATTAGTCGATCAGTAAATGTCAAATACTAAATGTTCAATTTCAAAAATATATTTAGAAATAAAATGAGTGTACCGTATCCATGAAAATCTTCACCAAGTTGATGTGATTCATGGTTACAAGAGAACTTTCTCGTGAAGCACTAGTCTTAATTCCATTAGGCTTAGGATCATTACTCCTGGGGAATTTCCTCTTATATTCTTCTATATTTAAGTCATTGTTTGGAAGCCAAAGTGGCTCTCCCATTTGAGACATTTGAAGAAGCTCGTACATAGCTGCCCTAATTACTTCAGCAATATGTTGTCTTGAAATGTGAACAACCTAGTTGGAAACAAAAATAATCAATTGAGTTTGAGTTTGATATATTAATAACGGTACAAGAAAATATATTAGAAAGTTACATCAATTAAATGCAAAATAATTCAGCATCAACACATTCAACTTAAAATTTTTAAATTATGATGAAATATATCAATCTAATGAGTCGAATGATTTTTTTAAAATTTTTTTGATTACCTCTTCTTCTTGGCGAGCATTTTTGAGACTTAAATGTTGTTCATTATCTGGAATTTCACCTAAATGGAAACCATGGTCGCTACAATTAGGGCAACCATTGTTGACAACTTCACTTAACCACGCATATTCAGTCCTAAGCTTGTCATATTCATCTCGAAGTGATAAATTCTTACTATGTTGATCTTGATTCTGTAAAGATATAATATTTCGAAACCACAAAATAATAAAAGTTAGTACAAAGACTTGCTAGCTAGAGTTAAATTAATTATGATTTAGCTAATTAATTGCATTTGTAATAATCTTAAATTTCAACAAACTACATTAATTACCATGAATAGTGATTAATAAATAAGATTTATACCAAGTGTGAGTACATTTATATACCAGTCAATTGTATTCTAACTGCTTCAAATATTTTGACATACAAGAACAAGAAGTTATATCAAGTGTACATATTATTGTCCTATTATATATCTTCAATTAATGTACACAATAAAAATTACAATCTCTTTTTCAAAACAAGTTGTATTTTTATCTATCTAGTTTGTTTTTAAATAAGCAGTTTTTTAAAATAATCAAGAAGCAACCAAAAATTTTCTTCCAGTTATGAATGAAGTTTTACATAATAAAAGAACAATTAAAGAGCTATTTCTTTTTAAGACAGTGGATTAGAACTTTGTAACTAAACACTTTTTTTACTTTTTTAGAAGTGAGTAATTTTAAGGGGCCTGCTAAAAGTAATAACACCGTGTGTTACTAAACAGAGGGAGTATTAGTATCACATACCTTTAATTGGGTACGCCTATTTTGGAACCAAAACACGATCTGCAAAGGTTCTAGCTCTATCTTATCACTGAGCTCCTTAATTTTCTTCTTATCTGGCTTCGGACACTCCTTAAACAAACTTAATCACAAAAATTACAAAAGATTAAAAACATAAAAACTTTTTAAAAAAGTATTTAGATAGGATAAGATATTTTACGCTTCCATTTCCGCGATCTGTTGCTTGGTGTGACGACGATTGCACATTTTCTTATTTGTATGCTCATCACCCTTACCATCTTGTTCATCAACATTATTGTCATTGTATTCGGATTTACTATTTACTTCGTCATCTGTACGCAGCTGCATTATCTCCTTTATCGATATTGTCTCAGACTCTATGGAAATTGGATTAGGTTTGCTTTTCGACATGCTACTTGACTGAAAAATACAAATTTATAAAAACTTTGTAACATATAATTAAAATATCATCATAGAAAAATCCTATAAGAAATTTTAAAATTTTCAAGACTCGAAACCAGAATTTTAATCAAGAGCATAGGAATCTTAACTATCCAACAAGAAACCTTGATAATAACATGGGGCTTAGATACCATACCTCCATAAATGCCTAAAGAAGTATTTTTAAAAAATCTTTTCAATCTGATCTGGCCAAGCTGGAGTCCAGATGAAGAAGGAATAAACCCAACATCATTTTCGGTTACCAAAGAATTTTGATTGGCGAATTCAAACAAAAAAACATTGGTTAAAAGCAAGTAAATTTTAGCAAAGATGAACTGATTAGTAAACTAGAAATCAAGCGAAATTCTTTGTTGTTTCTTTTCCAAACTAGAAACTAGAAACAACAAAAATATCTAAAAATTATTCAGTAAATTCATAGACATATAAATGGAACATGGAAAACTTTAATAATAAAATAAGAAAAAATCTAGAATTTTGACCTGACCAAACGGGAGTCGAGATGAGGAAGGAACATTTTCAATCATTGAAGAATTCTTATTTGCCGAATTCATAATACTATCCATTGATCATCCAAAACCCTTTAACAGTGCAACATGTTAGTATAAGTGATGATTTCTCATCTCGTTTACTTTAGTTCTACAAGGGAATAATAGGTTGAATGCATAAAAGCTAGAGAAATACTCTTATGAAAGTCCCAAAATAAATTATATAGCGAATTAATTACAGTAACAATAAGTTTGACTCAGATAAAAATTACATTATTTCCCTAAACAATGATTTAATAAAAGTAAATACATTTTTGAAGCGTAGAAATTATTGTTCGACATTAAATAATCAATAAATATTGACAAGAAAAATTATCACCTCCATTCAAAATAAGTTATTTTTATCTTTTTTGTTTTTTATTAAAATATGTAGATTTCCACCATCAATTACAAATTGAAATTTTCTTCCAATTTTATCCTTATTAAAATAATAAATTTTACATAAACAACAAACCATTAAAGAAAAACTTTTTTAAGACATTTGATTAAAAGTTTGTTATGAAGAGTACTTTTTGCTTTCTTAGAGTATGTAATTTTGTTAAGGAGTCTATTCAAACTAAAAATATCCGATATTGTTAAATAAAGGGAGTACAAGTATTATAGGTCATTATTTGAGGTAGACCTATTTTGGAATAAAAATTTGACATGCAATGGCTCTATAGCTTCAGTTTATTAGTGAGCTTCTTCCTTTTTTCTCATTTGGATGAGAACACTGCTCAAAATGTCTTGATCACAAAAATAACAAAAGGTTAATGCCATAAACACTATAATTTTTTTTTGGATATAATGATATATTTTGCGCATCTATTTTCTACTTGCACATTTCTTATTCAGGTCCTCCTAATTATTATCACCTTGTTCATCTAGTTGACTGTCCTTGTAATTGTATTTGTAGTTTGATTCGTTATCCATAAGCAGATGAATTATTTCATTTTACGATTTTGTCATTAAATCTATATATAGTTGGTGAATTAAACCGACTTTTCAATATGCTACTTGAGTGACATATAGGTAAAATGTTTGTAAGATACAACTAACATATCAAAATAGGACATACCTATATGGAATTTTTAAATTTTTAGGACTCGAAATAGACAACTTCATCAAGAGTAGAAGAATCTTAAACATCCTACAAAACCCCTTAATTATAACATTAGCAAGATTAATTGAAAAATGGGGAATATTAAAACCTCCAGTGACACCTAATACACAAAAAAAACTTCTAAAATTTTTTGTAAAATTTGTAGTAATACCTAACTGAAGTGGAGTCTGGATGAAGAAGAAACGAACACAGGATTATTTGTGGTCATCAATACGAATTCAATTTTTTTTTTTGGTTAATGATAAGGAGATTTTAGCAAGATTAACTAATCAATCAATTAGAAATCAGTGGAACTCTTTCTTGTTTGTTTTCTAGGATAGAAACTAAAAAAACTACACAAATTACTAACAAGTATCCATTAGATTCGCGAACATATAAATGGAACATAGTAAACTTGAAAAAATTAAAGGAAAAGAGAAATCTAGAATTTTGACCTGGCCAAGAGGGAATCAAGAGGAGGAAAATCATTATCGATCATTCAACGAATTCATATTAGCCGAATTCATAATTTTGTACATTGATCATGAAAAACTGTTACACAATGCAACATGCTACTATAAGTGATGATTTGTCATCTCGTTTACTTTGTTTCTGTAAGGGAATAATAGTTTGAATGCACAAAATAGTAAAGGCTAGAGAAGGACTCGTAAGATAGTTCCAAATTAAATGATTTAGCCAATTAATTACAGTAATAATAATCTCAACTTACAACCAACTACAGTAATTGATCTAAACAATGATTTAAAATAAGTGAAGATATATTAATTAATCGTAGAAAACTGATAAATCAAGTGTGAATGCAGTTATTTTAGTCAGGAAAATTATAATTGTCTCAAATAGTTTGTCTTATACAGTTATTGTAGTCAACACAATTATATTTGTCTCAAATATTTTGATATAACAACAAGAAGTTATACCAAGCGTATAAATTATTGTTCGACATTAAAATTTTAATATATGATGACATGAAAATTATTACCTCCATTTCAAAAAATATTATTGTTATCTTGTTTGTTTCTTTTACGATATGTAGTTTTTCACCCATTAATAAGGAATTGAAAATTTCTTCTAAACTTATCCTTATTAAAATAGTGAATTTTACATAAGCAATAAACCACTAAAGATATACTTTTTTAGGACATTTGATTAAAAGTTTATAATGAAGAACATTTTCTGCTTTCTTAGAGTAAGTAATTTTTTTTAAAGGATTCTTACAACCAACTACAGTAATTGATCTAAACAATGATTTAAAATAAGTGAAGATATATTAATTAATTGTAAAAAAACTGATTAATCAAGTATTAATGCAGTTATTTTAGTCAAGAAAATTATAATTGTCTCAAATATTTTGTCTTATGCAGTTATTGTAGTCAACACAATTATATTTGTATCAAATATTTTGATATAACAACAAGAAGTTATACCAAGCGTAGAAATTATTGTTCGACATTAAAATTTAATATATGATGACATGAAAATTATTACCTCCATTTCAAAAAATATTATTGTTATCTTGTTTGTTTCTTTTACGATATGTAGTTTTTCACCCATCAATAAGGAATTGAAAATTTCTTCTAAACTTATCCTTATTAAAATAGTGAATTTTACATAAACAATAAACCACTAAAGAGATACTTTTTTTAGGACATTTGATTAAAAGTTTGTAATAAAGAACATTTTCTTCTTTCTTAGAGTAAGTAATTTTTTTTAAAGGATTGTATTCAAACTAAAAACATAAGATATTGTTAAATCGAGGGAGTACAAGTATTATATGCCATTATTTGAAGTTCACCTATTTAGGAACGAAAAATGTGACATGCCAAGTGTCACATCCCGCCACATGACAATTAAATTTTGCGTCCAGATGGTGGTGGAAGGGTCTAGTGTTGTTGAGAGTTTTGTGGAGAACTCTACAACCTTCTATATTAATCAAGAAGGCTAGAGTATTCATTCTCTAGAATAACTTAGATATTTTCTTGGAAACTTTTAGAAATTCCTTGAATGTGTAGACTTTTCTAGAGAGGGACTAAAGTGTAAATAACTTAGGGACTTGTAAGTAATTTTAAATTACACTTTAGCTCCCTAGGAAGTAGTACAAATAAGGGGAGAGGGGGGAGGGGGGGGGGCTATCATTTGTAAATTACTCAACTTGTAAAACATTCGTCCAAGTAATATAAAACCTTCTTCCAAAATTCTCTAAGTCTTTCCTTTCATTCTCTTAGTGATCTTAGTTTTAAGGGATTACTTGAACTTACAAGATCGTGAAAGATTCGTGAGTAAGTTTTCAAGTGCCGCACAGAAATTTAGTAAGACTCTAAGTCCGTAACAAAGTGGAATCAGAGGACGTAAATGCCGCTAGAACCACCAACATTAGGCTGGATAATGGGAAGGAGTGGATCACAAGGGTTGAAACGGCGAGGCAGGCCGTGGAGATATTAGGTCGGCGTTTGAATGTGGCTAATGGCAAGTTCAAGACCCTTGAAGACTTCACCCTTGAGGAGACCGAATCCATCAGTAAAGAGTTGGAGGGGTGCCAGCGAGCTGAATTTGAGATGAAGGAGGTTATCACTTCCTTGGAGTGTCGGCTTATGGAGGCGTTAAGCACGATTAAGACCATGAAGGCCGAGATAAATGCACTCAAGAAAGGTGTGGAAGTTGGAGGATCATCGTCGCTTGAACGATATAGGGAGGCCAAGGTCGAGGATCCCAAGCCACCTATGTTTAGAGTCGTCCATGATGTGCAAGAGGTGGAGAATTTCCTACGGCACTTGGAGAATTACTTCAAGTGCAACAGACTGAAGAGAGACGAGAGTAAGACCAACACTGCCGTGTTGTACCTTTCGGAGATGGCCATGCTATGGTGGAGGCTATAGAGCCCGAAACAGGGAAGGGGACGTGCACCATCAACACTTGGGAGCAATTCCGCAAAGAGTTCAAGAAAGACTTCTTCCCAAACAACGCTATCTATGAGGTCAAATGCAAGTTTAGGGAATTGAAGAAAATGGGAAACATTCGAGCATATGTGAATGAGTTCACCACCGTCACGCTCTAGATTCCTAACCTCATGGATGAAGATATGTTGTTACACTTCAAAAATG